TGATATTACCATAAAAACTATCAGGTCTGTGCAGTGTCGTATGACATCTATGTACCAAGTTTCATTTGAAATGTGATGATTAGTACTTGAGATATCAGTGGAAAAACCGAAAATTGACTAATCATTATGCAAATTAGGTAATTAGTATCCACGGATTATTACCAAAAACTAATCAAAACCTAGCATTAGTTCAGAGCATCTATGTACCAAGTTTCATCAAAATCCAATGAGTGGTTGTTTAGATATCAGTGGAACAGTCATGGAACCACTAAAAAATAGCTAATTATCATGTAAATTAGGTAATTAATATGCACGGATTTTTACCAAAAATTAATCAAATCTGCGCATATGTTCAGAGCATCTATGTACCAAGTTTCATCAAAATCCAATGAGTGGTTCTTTAGATATCAGTGGAACAGTCATAGAACAGCTAAAAATTAGCTAATTATCATGCAAATTAGGTAATTAACGAGCATGGATTTTTACCAAAACCTAATCAAATCTGCGCATTGGCCCAGAGCATCTATGCACCAAGTTTCATCAAAAACCGATGTATGGTTCTTGAGATAGCAGTGGAACAGTCGGACACACATACACACACACATACACACATACACACATACACACATACACACATACACACATACACACATACACACACACTAACTGCAAAGACTCCCATTTTGTGCTTCGCACATGGGAGTCAAAAAGAAAATGGTCCAAACTGACTTGGAGCCAGTGTACTACATCATAGGACATCAGGGAGTTGTCTAGTTAAATAATAACACATGCATGACACGATTGTTGAAATAATCGTCTGATTTGCCAAAATTAATATTCATGAGCAATGAAAAACTCGTCTTTTCAGTAAAATTGTGTCAAAATGCTTTCCGATAACATGTGGCATAGCTCTAAATTGACTGATTCTATCGTCACGGGCTGAAAAAATTATCGAAAAACTGTTGTTAAAGTGTTTGTTGAGACACGTTTTTGATCGGTCTCCAGCAAACTGTGAAAGTAACTACAATTTTTTTAACGTGTTCATAGCAAGTTGCGAAATTCACGGAGAATGCAAAAGCACATTGTTATTCACTCTACTCGTAGCACAATTGCTCAAAATTGCTGAAAATATTTTCAATAACGTTTATCAGTGACAAGTTACCCAATTAGCAACTGCAATATGATTGGCCGAAACCTCTTCAATTATCCAACTCAAGGCAGCTGTGGTACAAGTGTACTAGAAAAACTGTGAAGGCATTGTGAGAAACAACTCCCCGATGGTCAGTGGCGTTAGCCACATATACACTGGCTGGTTTTATTTAATTTAATTTGAAGTACTAGACAAGGTCGGCACTGTAATGTGTTTTTCTGAGAACCAACTGTGTTAAAAAGAGACTGGAATAATTACGTTGTAACACTAACGCCACATTTTCACCATCGACATTTGATTATAATGCATTGTGGGTAGAGGCGGAAATAAGTCAAGCCCAGCGTTGTGAGTTGAATAGTCTATATTAACCGACTATGCTTTATTCAAATGTACAGTTTATTTTAATTTAAATATACAATTAGTAAGAAAGTGTGTAAAGTAGATTTCCATGATTTCCCCCACATTAATTATTATCTTTATTAGAATTATTCACGTTCCCGGTCCATTCACTTCAGCTACCTATCACCCGTAGTATATAAAACTTGCCCTGTGCACTGCTTTATCGTTGAGGTGAACATAATGTCATTATATAGGTACTGCACACACCACCCACAGTCAACTAACCGGGATATACTCTAGCAACGTGTTTGTAACCCCTCACTTCCAGCAAGTCATTTACCCTTTCTATTCGCTCCTCTATATCTTTGTGCATCTCCTCCGTGAAAGGATTGAATCCGAGGAACTTGTTGTGGTCGTCGGGTCGATGGAATCGCCCTTCGAGGTTTTTTACTACACATGCTACCCTCCTATCTTCCAGCGTCATGTTGAGAAAGTTAGAGATTTTACGGAGTTCGTAGATGGGGTTGTCCTTCATGTCCTCGTAGCGGACAAGTATCAGCGGGCGTTCGTGGAATAGCAACCATTGACTGATCTGGCTTTCCCATTCACTGGAGTATTTTTTAACGTAAAGATCCCATCCTGGTAGAAATAACAATGTGAAAAGTAGGTATTATTTAATAACGAACCCAACGCAGCGTAGTGACTATGACTTTTCAACTTTAACAGTTAAGGGACGGCAGTCGTCGCGCTGCGCATGTGCGTCATTTGTGTTGATAAACCATGATTTCCCCACAATCCAATGCGCTCTTCCAATGAAAATCATGAGGTTTGACCTGGGCGTGACTTGCATTAATTACTGCCCATGACTCCTTCGATACCTTCCAATCAACTAAAATACCTAATTAAAATTTGGTAACGTCTCAGTTTGTACTCGTTGATCTGCGCAACTGTAAAAGTCATCATCTTTGTTTATATGAGACCCATATATCTCGAGCATGCGTGGCGCGACGACCACCGCACTTTAAGTGTATAAATGCATATTTGTTCTTATAATATATGTACCTTGTTCATTATAATATATGTTCATTGGAGCGTAACCAGTCTTCCCGGCGTACTGTCTGCTAGCTTCCGCTAACATTGCCTTATATGGGTTTCTGATTAGAAGAATAGCATTCTGAAAACGCCTGATAAGATCTCGCGAGAAATCGTGAGTTTTTTGAACAACGGTGGTTCCTGAACGCCAGTCTTCGTTTTCTCCTTTAAATCCTGAAAATGAGGATAAATGATTTAAAAGTCATAATTATTTTGTTCATCTGAGATATGATAAGTTTGTTTGTTTGGGGCGTCACTTCAGCAGTCAACTAGCTTGGATACAAACATGTAAACCACGTTCAGAATATTGCCGCGGTCTATAAACTAGTTGTCTTTTTCGGCAGGTTGTGCTATCCGCGTGTTCATTACAATTCGCGAATAACTATATTCTAGTCGTAAAAGCGTATAATAATAAAAACATTATTTCATTAAAAAAATGTATAAATTTTTTATTTCATCCTGTTATCATTGAATGTCATACCGGCCGTTGAGGGCACTCCTCTTTATATTTGAATAGCTCACCTCGCTGGTGATTGAAGCTAGCAAACACCGAAATGAATATGACCTCACCTGCGGTTTCTAATGTCGAACTTCTCTTTACATTACCAGTGTAGTAAGTAGTGGCTTGTTCGATAAGATGTCGAACCCAAGTGTTTCCGGAACCAGGAAAACTGGCGAGGGCTACCGTTGGTCGGGACTTCGCTGGCGCAAATCTGACACCGCAACGATCAGCTGGAGTTGGGAGAAACATAAGAATAGGTGAGCAAGCGTGTTGCCTTGGTGATGGGGGTGAATTTTAAAATCGATACTTTTGTTTATTTATAACAGTTGTTGCTCAGTGGAAGACAATTAATCAATATACATGCATGTAACTTTAGTACTACATTTTTATAAAAACATACATAGGTATGTATTATGAGGGCGCTCCTTCTTTACTAAATACAATTGTTCTCAATTGGTAAAACCATGATGGAGTCTGAACAGTCATAACTAAAAAGCATACACGTTACAAATAGCGTAGATACTATGTAAAACTTACGCGGCGCTGTCTCTCTGGGCATATCCACGTGTTTTATAAGTCGTATTTGGGTGTATACCAGAAGCACTGAGAGCAAAACAAGACCAGCAAGTGAGAGTCCCCGCTTTCCTGAAAACAATGAACCATCATTACCTACAACAGAAAAACAATGGAATAACGAAGTACACTCTTAATTTTCGAATAAAAAATGCCAACCAAGATAGCTATAAATTTCTAGTTTTAAAAACCTCACCCACATCAGAATGCATCAATGTGATCAAGAACATGGGCATTAAATAATGATTATGTATTTGTAATTTTATGGAAGAATTTTCCAGGATTGAGATTTTATGCAGACCTGTATCGTTTGTTATTTCGCATACGGGGTCTGGGCTGATAATACAACTTCCCTTATTGGGTAAATACACCATGTGTGCCCTACAAGCCGTTGCGAGGCAACACGTTATGCTAATTTCCTGGCGAACCAATGACGTCAAAGAACAGTAGTGGCCTTCAAAAACATCTTTTATAATTACGGAATGTGTAACTTGGTAAATAGAATTCAAGTCATTTACAGCCACATGCTACAAGACCTCCCTATCAGTAAAGCTGATCCAACTTGATTTTTGGATTTTTACTCAGTTTTGTGATGGACATCAAGCACACCTCAAATCACATCTTCTGACTAGTGTGGCACTATGATAATCAAACTTCCCTGACAGACCGTAGTGTGCCATGGAGGTTGAACTCACCTCCTCTGCCATTTGAACGGAAAATGTTGTTTTTTATTCGAGACAGTTTATACAGCATACCCATGAACAGCCACTTTATTCTTCTCCGGTAGTTGAGACACCGGTCAATTCTCGTCACAACTGGACTTTCTGAACCTCTGCTCTCAAGCGATATGGGACGCTTCTCCGGCGTTGGTGGCGGCGGTGTACTTCTATCCACCTCCAAGTCCCGATTAGGTGGGGTTTTCTCCGATGAAAACATTCCGACGATGGCAGCTCGAGCTTGTCGAGCTTGGCTAAGAGCGGATTCTAATCGACGTTTCTGATACGTCAATTCTGTTATCTTTTGCATCAGTAAGCCCTTTTCGTGCTGGTCAGCCATTTTGCGGACTTCTTTTTCGAGCGAAGCTTTTTGCATCCTTAACGCGGTCAGTGACACCTGTATCGGGATTGTATTGTCGTGATTAGTAGGATGTCCAAGTTCAATATCTAAGTCAGCTTCTCTGTTGACCGTGTAATATGGTCTATCGCTGTCGGGGGTAGGCCCGCTAATGGATGTGTATGGTGGCGGACGACCAAAATTTGACATATTATCCCCGGTCGATCACATCAAATAAAATGACAGGAACATGAAGATAGAATTCTGGGTACTTAATAGATTCTGAAACAAGACAGAAAAACAATAGATAAATGAAGTGGATATATACCGCGTTGTATTCCCAGGCAACGAATACAGCGTGTGTAAAGCGCGTTTACGGAACACGAAATTCGAACATGCGCTACACTACGACCTCAAAGCGGGAGGGTCGTCACCTGCGCACACGCGGGAATTGAGTCCCAAGCGACGATAACAACACACGCTAAAAACGCAAAGGCTCGTGGGTAGATGCTTGTTAGCAAACAATGACACGCTATGGCCATCTGACGCATGCGCAGGTGACGACTCCCCCGCTTTAAGAATGAAACCTAACCCCACAACAAAGGTGTAAACAGCATAAAAATGATGACCCGTAATTAATGGTACAGTCCCAGGGACTCTCAGCCTTCTTTTCATTAAATACTAGTACTCATTTCATTTGTCACACGAAACACGACTTAATAGACGTCGAATTGCGCATGCGTATCTTTATACAACCCAATAACTGTTGTGCAGTCAACGTGTAAATTTTCAAAAATGTTTGGTATTTATGTTTGATCAACAGTAACTTCATTTATGAACATTTAATTTGGAGGGGAGAGGTCAATCTGTTCGCAACTCCCCTCCCTCTCAACCAAATTAAATTGCCCTACCACTGTTTTTTGCTACCACTGCCCTCTCCCCACTCAGTTTTTGTTCCCCGCTCCGTTGACTGCACCTGACTGTTGTTGTTTACTGCAATGACAGTCAGCCCAATCCAAATTTCCTATAATTAACAGTAATTCTATCAATCACAATAACCTTCGTTTTACATCGGTAACTATTTTATTAGGTAATATATTTCACGTTTTGCTAAAACCATTTATTGTGGTTTCATCATAAATACGCACTTATTTCAACTATAGCTGGATAAACAGTCTCACGCCACTAACGAATTAAAGAGAGTAGTTTTAAAGCGCGTGTTCGAATTTCATGTAAATAAACAATGTATTTTACACGCGTTGTATACGTCGCTATGAGTCCCATATCAAACAGCACCCGGCACGACGACTGCCGCCCTTTAATAATATTATACTATGTTATGACATTTTATTTGGAACGTACACAAAACAAAGTAAGGTAATGTCCAAAACAGCAAAGAACGACATGACTACAAGACTAAAACAGATCTAAAATACAAAAAACAAACAAAGCATAATTGGAAAGGATAAACTTGTAAAGTGTGAAGAATTTCAATGAATAGATCATCAATACTGAAATTTTTAAGAGAAATTTATGTCTACATTCTTTGATAAATCTATTTTGACGATCACAATGTGAAATACCCTTTATCACGAAATATTAGTACAAATGTATAAACACCATTGCTAGCATTTGATATTGCCGAATATTAATTATTCACGACCTTATGTCCGCCGTAATTACAAAAACGAACCCCACCCCCACCCCGTCACAGTTATGGACATTATTGGAGTATCATATTTACCGAACATTCCAATGACAATGTTAAGTACATGAATCTATTTCAGGTCATTGCACAGATTTACTTGTCTTTAAGTACCCAGTTCTACTAACTGTATATGCATATATTGCTTTAATACAAAATTTTGGCGTATACTAATTTCACCACTTTGAAATAACGTTAAGGTTACATAAACTGTTTTACATGGCGCCACGTGTCAGTTCGAGTGGTTTCCACCATAACAGTCTGCCAACGTACGTGCATGCGATATATTTTTAATATGACATATAACGACCTTTTATTGTGACAGCGGCAGCAGTCGCCACCCTTATCGTCGTACGTCGTTTCGCCAACGTCGCTGTGCTGCCAATCAGAGCATTGAATTATTAACAGTTTTCAGGCCACGTCGGGCATCACTAAAATCATATCCAGCGCGGCGGCGGCGACAAAGAACGAATAAACATACGAACAACATGCGTAATATTGGTAATCGAAAAAAGGATTAATAAAAAATGTGGTAAAAACGAACCAATAATAGCAATTTCACAAATTTAAACGAAAAGATAATTGAATTGTGAATCTATGAAAAAATGTATCGATGGCCATTTATTAATATTTTATAAAGACACTGACGCCTGACTGACGTACACAGTTGAATGACTGGAACCCATCCCCATCACAAGAAACACGACAACTCTCTTCGGTTACGATTTGGTACTATGGTTGTCGCTGGTAAGTTTGTCTCTTAGAACGAGGTCTTCTTCATGGAGGTCTTCTTTTCCACCTCCTGGACAGACACACCAGTGTGTCGTACACTGATATATAACCATACATTGCCAGAAATGGGTGGACAAGATGGCCGACTTCCGCCCGTGGCCAGTGCTCCCCGGTCAAATAAACATCACAGGATGTGCCATAGAGAATGCATTGCATAAACTATATATTAAAGAAAACAATTATTTTGAGCTTATATTTTTCATTTTTTCTCTTTTGTGCGCTTCGTAATAAACAGTTGACGTTTCAAGCTTT